GCTCAAGCGAGTCTCTTGCCTCAGCCTCCCAAGTAGCTGGGACCACAGGCGCCCGCCACAATGCCCGGCTATTTTTGGTTGCAGCTGTCGTTGTTGTTTGTGGGCCCCAACTGGATTCGAACCTGCCACCTTGGGTGTACATGGCTGGCACCTTAGCCACTTGAGCCACAGGCACCAAGCCTCATTTGTTTATTTTTATATTCTACTTTCTGGGAGAATTCTACAACTTTATCTTTCTTCTAATTTCTTTTATTTCTGCTATAATATTTTTAATTTCTGAATAATCTTTTTTAATTGTCTCATTCTTTTTTCTTGAATGTATCTGTTCTTTTACCTCTCTATGGATATTAGAGACCATTTATTTGCATTAGCTTTGTTTGTTCCTAGTTTTTTTCCGAACAGGTGGTTCTGCTGTAATGTTACATACACATTCCTAAAAATCACTTCACTGTGTAGAATTGCTTAGTAAAATCCACAGGGATTATCAAAGAATGGGATTAGAAGTACAATGTAAGAACTTCATCAGTAGCACAGTAAAAAAAGACAGGAACCTAATAAAAACAGCACTTACTAAATTGTTAAGAAATATATAAATACTATAATAAATATGGCACTGATCTTGAAAAGACCTGAAGTTTGCTTGTGGAAAGTAGGTATCAGAGATCTCAACATACGTGATATTGTGAAGTATTAGAAAGGTTATCTGAAATCAGAAGGAAAATCGTAATACCAGATGTGGATGAGTGTGCCTCACGACATATGATGAACTGAAGTAGCTAGGAATTGAGCTTTGTGCATTTCATGTATTTTTATATAGCTCATATGTAGTTTTTCTGCATTCATTTAGCATTTCTTACAGACAAAATTGTGCTCAAATTGTTTCCTGATATAGTAGTTACATTAGAATAAATTTGTGTTTTCAAAGCAGCGTTACAGCAGAACTGATTGTAATTTGTTTTATTTATTTATTTATATAGCAACCTCCAACTCTTGGGCATAAGCGATTCTCTTGCCTCAGCCTCCCAAGTAGCTGGGACTACACGTGCTGGCCATAATGCCTGGCTAATTTTCTTTTGGTTGTAGTTGTCATTGTTGTTTGGCAGGCCCAGGCTGGATTTAAACCTGCCAGCTCTGGTGTATGTGGCTGGCTCCTTAGCTGCTTGAGCTACAGGTGCCAAGTCTGTAATTTGTTTTAGACTCTGCCTTTCATGTAAGGAGCAGTTGTCGGATGAATGCTAAACATTGGCTATCCTTTCAGATTCAAAAGTGAGGCGCTAAAAATGCTTATTTGGAGCTGTTGATTCAGTGAGCTTCTCCTTAAAGTCATGGGTTGACAGGCCCAGCTGTTTTTTGAGGTATTCAATAAACATTGTTATCTGTTGGCATTTCCTCACTTTCCCCAGAGAGAAATACTACAGGTAATAATAATTCTGCTGCTTTTGATTGCTAGAGCTGGCCAGTGAAAGTCTCTATAGTGCAGTGAGTGCCTTACCTCTGCTTTCAGCTGTTTATGCACAGTCCACATTCTCTCTGCTTCAGCCTCCTTAGGGAATAAACCTCGCGGTTACTCCAGTAGATTAGGGGCATTCTCAACTTTGCGAATTATAAAGGGGGTTCAGGATTTAAACTGCTCCTGACACCTCTTATTTTCGGCTCCATCCCATACTCCCACATTCAGGGGTAGCTGGTACATCTGCTTCCCAAGAGTTTTTGGTAGTAGGTTTTCTCATAGGTAGATTTCACAGCCTAAGCTCTGATGAATCATTCACCACTCATTAATTTTTCTATCTTCCAAACTTGTGTCAAATCTCTCTTCTCATGTTGCCTTTTTTTACCATTATTTTTGTTCTTTTTAAAATTTCCTTATTGTCATTATGATGAAGTTTCTAGAGGAGCAGAGATAATTGCATGAGTTCAACCTGTCATGTTTCACTAGAAGTTGATCCATTTTTTAGTAGCATTTAGGAGGCTTTAATAATTTATGTTAAATATTAATTTATGTCACATTTCTTTAATTATGTATCACAGATTCAGGACCTAAATCTATAGCCCAATTTTTCCTTCCTAAACAGATTTTTTTCCACTGTATCTTTGAATTTTACTGGATGCTTTTACTGTGTTTATCAAGATATTTAATTAATAGAATAAAGGGCAAGTACCATTTTATTAATTTGATGGATTTCATTGATTTTCTTTTTTTTTAATGTTGACTCAATCTTGCATTCCTGGAATAAACCTCTCATACACTCATGGTATATAATCCTTTTTATATGTTTTTATTTTCAGTTTGCATCTAATTCATAAGGGATATTCGCCTATAGTTTGTTTTCTTGTGATATCTATCTCCATAATTAAAAGACTTCTTTCTCAAATTACAGTTGCAATAATCATATTGTCTCTTTTTCTCTATAATCTTCTTTGGGTCAAGACTTAGCTATTACATTCTTCTCTTCACGGGTATACTTTCTTTTAAAGTAAATTTTCTGCAATTAATCTCCAAAGGTAATAAGATAATTTGCCTTATCTAGTTTTTAAAAATACATTTTTTTTTATTTTTAACATTCATTCTTTCTACTGATTTTGTTTCCTGCCCTAAGTTTCAATTTCCTCTGTCTTTTTTAGACAACTTCTTACATTGCCATCATTTTGTGTTCCTGTTCCCAGCCCTGTACTATTTCTCCTGGCCTAGATGCCCTTTCACATTCCATGTTCTTATTAAGCATCCTTTCTACCTTTATTTCAAAGATAATCCTAGAGTACTACTACTTAAAAAGACCTTAGCCAAGAAATAGAAAAGAAGTACCACATTGTCAGTCTCCTGTACAGATAAACATGCATCTGAAGATGCCACAAACTTCCAAGTGTGTGTAGATTTGAGACATTTGGTATTACCTTGGTTTGTTTTCCTAGCATCTTTATTATCCAACTGTGGTTGGATTATAATAATCTCAGCATTGGTATATCAGTGTTAATAGGTAAACTTGACTTTGGTGACAGGATAAGGGTTTTTGGTTTGGGGGGGAGTTTTTTCTTTAACATAGGATCATATACACTTAAGTTTATTTTCTTTTGTTTCCTGTCTAGGTGGAGTATGTGTTTACAGATAAAACTGGTACACTGACAGAAAATGAGATGCAGTTTCGGGAATGTTCAATTAATGGCATGAAATACCAAGAAATCAATGGTAGACTTGTGCCGGAAGGACCAACACCAGATTCTTCAGAAGGAAATTTAACTTATCTTAGTAGTTTATCCCATCTTAACAACTTATCTCATCTTACATCCAGTTCCTCTTTTCGGACAAGTCCTGAAAATGAAACTGAACTAGTAAGCAATTTTTTATTAATAAATCAGGAATTCATGTGAAGTAGTTCTATTCTGTGGCTAATAGGTTGTAGGGAAAAAAAGTTTTAAGTGTCAACAGAGCAAAAACTATATATTTGAAATGTGTATCTTTGATTCAAGGCTACAAAATATCCTAAGAATTTGTAGTTATAGCCTAGTTTAACTTATTATATAATATGTATCTGCTTTAGCTCTTTAAGCATTTAAATGGAACGGAGTTAAGAAAAGCCCTTTCTGCCTTGAGATGAATAAGACTTTATTAAAAAATAGAGCTTACATAGATTTAATATTTTGGGGGCCCTCACTACTTTCACAAAAGCATATTCCCCTTTCCTTAGAATTTGGTTATGCCTCCTAAAAGATGCTGATGTGTTGAAGATCCTAAGCAAATGTAATTTTACTTTTTGATCTCAGAAGCAACCAACTGTTAATCAGGAATCAAGGTTGTAGCATTCTTGTTCTAGATTTTAGAATTCTGTTTCTGATTTCCTAAGTGAGATTTCAGAATGGCATTTTACTCATGAATACTAACTATGTTCCTACAGATTAAAGAACATGATCTCTTCTTTAAAGCAGTCAGTCTGTGTCACACTGTGCAGATTAGCAATGCTCACACAGATTGCGTCGGGGATGGGCCCTGGCAGTCCAACCTGACACCCTCTAGTTTGGAGTACTATGCATCTTCCCCAGATGAAAAAGCTCTAGTAGAAGCTGCTGCAAGGTAACATAGCCTGATTTCCATACCTTCAGAAAAATACCTTTTAAATATCTAATATTTCTTGTATTCTATATACAAGAAAGTCAAGGCCAGGCATGGTGGCTCATGCCTGTAATCCCAGCACTCTGGGAGGCTGAATCACCTGAGCTCATGAGTTCAAGACCAGCCTGAACCGGAGTGAGACCTCATCTCTAAAAATATCCGGTGTTGTGGCAGGCGCCTGTGGTCCCAGCTACTTGGGAGGTTGAGGCAAGAGAATCACTTGAGCCCAAGAGTTTGAGGTTGCTGTGAGCTGTGA